AAAGAACAATAAACCCACAGCTCTGATTGTTCACTGCTTGACCCTCAACACGGAGCTTTGTCTCGTTCTTGGGGGGATTTACTGTATGCTGTTCCAGTTTGACTGCTAGGAGTGTAAACCTATTCGTATGGTTTTTCCTATTCGGCTGTTTACGGCATTCGTATGGTTTCCTGTTCGGCGGATTGGTGTTCTGCAGTAGCTGTGCCTGTGTCTCTGGAAGGGAAGATCTACTAAACGGCGGTTTAACCCTTTTATGCCTGGGGGTGCCGTTACAGCGAGTTTGTCTGTCCAATTTTAGTTTCATGCACTCAACGACCAACCATCGCTGCCTGCGTTCGTGTGACAAGATGGCTGCAAACTCACTGGTGTGGTATTATTTAACTATTTAACCTTTGTAAATTATTACAATGCAAAAGTACAGTATGATGGAGAGGTTTAATAATTTATGTTGTTTCTTTATATGACATTTGTACGTAGGTTTGGAAGTTGGCTGCCCCAACCTTGCTTTATTATCAGATTATCAGTAACAGTATGCAAATATATACAAATTGTTGTGTAGGCACTTCAAATATTTAGTGCGTGGGTGTGAAAAATGTGTAATCCCTTAACATCTGAAAACCAAATAATCAATAGAATAAAAATTGATTCACACACGCAAAACAGGTGTAGTATACCAATATACCACCTATTACAGGTATTGAAAATGCAGTTCCATCTGAAAAACAAATAAAACATATATAGTGCTCTCCATAGCATATAAAATATAGAGATTAAAGTATATGTGGAATAAACTCACAAAGATGGAGCGACATAAGCTCTATGAAAACCGAACATGGGTGCTTATCCAGGCTCTTGATATATTTCAATGAAGAACTCAATGTTCACAATGATGAAATATTTGAGTACAAATTTATTATAGAATATAGTTAAAAAATATGTAAATAATAAGGGACAGAAGTATGGCAGGTATCTAGGAAATTTTAATACACCGTAAATTTGGCCAAATAAAGGAAGCAGTACAAAAACAGATGGATACAAACATAAGTAAATACCACCAACAAAAAGTCCCAGAGTATGTCCAGTAGATAGCAAACGCGTTTCCTCAGTGCTGTATCACTGGTCCATCTTCAGGGTTTAAAAAAAAAAACCCTCTTGATATGTTCAAACTGTTCCAGCTGTAGCTTAAGTGCGTTGCCGGTGTCATCACTTCCGGTTCGGCATAGTCATGTGACTTCCGGTTTGACGTAGTCACATGATCACATTGCATTCCACCATGTGTTCCATATACAAGCATGGTGGAAAGGATCCTTATAGAGTCCAAAAAGGTCCATATTAGTAGTTGGCACTTGCCCATATGCATGGATATACTGAAAAAGGAGACAAAAATATGAATGAATAAGAGAACTATAACATAAAAAATATTACAAAGGAATATAATAATACTAAAACCAACTAAAACTATGATACATATACAATCTACAGGGGAAGGAGGCATTATCAAAGTCTGTGGGAAGATATGCCGAGTATATTTCATATATCGATTATCAGTAATAGTATGTACAGTGCTTTTTCACTCAAGCTCTTTGACTCTAATAGGAAAATACACAGACAAAAAACCCTTTATAACGGTGTACAGATCTTTGCGAGATAAGTTTATACACGCTATATTTATACTACACATAGTTAAAATAGACCAAATAACATAAAATATTCTGTCCTGTTTTATGCCAATTGGAATATATATAAAAAGAAAGTATCATTATTAAGAGGGACTTTAGGTTATTCACTAAGACAGCAGTTGCAAACTCAGAAACAAAATTTCCATCTCAGCAATTTTCTTTAGCTCCTCTGACTTAGCATAATATAAATCCAATCTGTAAACGATGTCCTACCTTTATTAGTCTGAAAATATATACAACAATTAAAATAGATTAAAAAAAAATAAAATAAGGCAGGGAACATACAAAAACTGTTTAAACATTTAATACTATAAAATGCTATTTGTATATATTCATTCTTTATTTCCTCAGTTTGCTTCGGGGATCTATGCTGTATCGATCTCACAAAGTTCCTGATTACGGAGAGAAAGATGTCTTGATGGCACTGATGAAAATTAAAAACGTTTGATACAGATGACAAAATACTCAAATTATTACTAAAGGATTATGCTAACATTATACTAAATATATGTATTGTTAGTGTGTGTTCCTGTGTTAGTTGCAGATTCAGGCCCCCATGTAAAAATAAATAATAAAGACTAAACATATCTGTAAGTCGGTTTGCTGCATTCTGCCTACCATGACATCATTAAAGGTGACCTAAAGAATATGCGGGGCAATTGCTGTGCTCCACCAATGCACTGCTTCTCATGGCAAAGATAAAAAATAGAAGGGTGAGACAGTTTTTTGCTTTGTAGGATCATATTGAATTTCCTCCTCTTCAGTAAACACACAAAATATCATTATACATAAAAAGTTGTACTGGGTGGTTGTACTCCCACCAGTGCAAATAGTGGAGCGCTTATAGATCAACTTACCCTTGTAATTCAAGGGGTGATTGTACAGCAAAATGCTAATAAAAAAAGAAAACCATATAGTGTAGTATATTAAGTGCTCAGATGCATGAATAAATATATATCGCACACTCACATAGATTAGAGCCAAACGAGGACAGGCTCAAATCACTCAGATGGATGTGTTCAAGGGGACACAGACCCTCTTCTGTCTTTTCCACAAATACTCAAAGGCAAAAACAAAACAAAACAAAGTAAATAGGTGATATAAGAAAAAGTTGGACCTTGCTTACCTTTTCCAGAGCCACTGACACCTGGCTCTGGGATATTCAGCTTGTGTGTCACTAAAAGGTAGGAAGCAGATGGGATGGAAGTATTAGACTAATGATGTAATTAAAATTACATTTATTAAATGAAACAATAAGTATAAAAAATCAATAAAATCAATATAGATAAAAGTCTGTAGTGGTTCCAATCCGCCAAGACGCGTTTTCAATCGGTGTCTGTTCCTGCTCCTGCTCGTTCTTTAAACCATAAGGCCTTTTTCAAATTGTCAGTGTGCTCGTGAACCAGACAATATTTGCCAGAAGCTCAAGGAAGCACGGTGAATGGTTAGTGTAGGACCCACCTAAGAGGTTTACCTTGACGTGGCAGGTGGGCATTCCCTCTAATGGCCATTGGAGTAACTAAATAACCTTCATTTGTTTAAATATACATCGGGATTTGGGAAAGAGCCCAGGTAACTTTTTTTCTTTGATTTTGCTAAATGTATTCAGCAAGTATGTTTATAACACTTACAGTGGATGTTGCAGCTTGAATTACTTGTATAAGATTATTAGGTTAATACAATCTATGGTCAACAAGTGGGTGGCACAAATATTGAAGTAATGAAATTGCTAAATAGCTAAGATTTATTTTTTTGTGTGTATCAGAAAGGAAAACTATAACATATTCTATGTGATTATAGCACTCACATATTTCAAGATGCAGTGCTTCATTAATTTTCCTTAACAAGTATGAATAACCCCAAAGACAAAGAAATGTGGACCCCTAAAGCACTTTATCTTTTGCAAAAAGTGCATATTTCAATAGAAATTGATACTTCTATAAATTAACCTGGTTACACCTGTTTGGCTTTCAAGCAGACAACCCTGTTACTTCTTGGTTTCATTAGCTCAGCTGAGCTAAACAGCAATTGCCCAGATCACCTTTCTTGCAGAGACTTCTCATTGAGCTGCATTAGGAAATCTCTGATTGGACAGCTACAGAAAGTCTGGGCAGAGTTAGAAGGGGAGGGCTTGCAAAGACAGCAGACTGGAGAGCTACAGGTTTTACAAGCTGCTTTTACATATACTCAGAATGAAAATAAATTAATAAACACGTGTATGTTTTCATTGAGGGTATATCTACTAAACAGTGATTTAAAAAAAAACGTATTTATTTCTTTTTGTATGTGGTCAGTGGAGTGTCCCATTAATGCTAACCTCACTGACATTCGGCATGTCCCCTGCTCATACTTTTTAGTTGCAGAATTCTTAATTTGCTTGAGTTGCTTGACCTGCTGAATTTGGTTGATCCGTTCCTCTCTGCTTATCTTTCCTTCGGGGGTTAAGGATTTTCCAATGTATATACTGCATCCCGGAGAACCTGACAACGATAAATGAACCTTTCACCCCATAGGATAATGAATGTAGAAGAGTTATGATTTGTAGGAGTGTATTATTGTGCTGAGTCCTTTTGGATCCTCATTTGCATCATAACTTCGTTGATCTACTGTAGCTAATTGTTGCAAACCAGTGAGTTTATGCATCATCTATTAAAGGCTCCATTCTTTCAGCAAAATGTTATTCTGCATTTATTGCTAGACTGACTTTATAGCTCTCCATCTGTCCTATACTTTGTAAGCTGATATTTCTCCTTATTTAAAATCAATCATGAAGTTTTCCATGTAAAACCTTGGTACATGCAGGCTTGTGCGAACCACACTATTTAGCTTTTTTTGTAATTGACTGTGAACTGACTTTCCCTGGGACATTATTCAGTGGGTTTTTGTTTGTTTGTTTTGTTTTTAGTAGACTGCCATCTAAGTCTACATACATTTTGAGTGTGCAGTATTGTGTGCAAATCTTATTAATAATTATGGAAAATGTGTCCAACTCAGAGCCATTGCAAACCTGTGAAGTGTGGACTGAACCATCATGCCGACGCCTGGGTAACAATGTCAGACTACGACATATTAATATTTGATGCAGCAGAAGGATGAGGAAAGACTGCATCTACTGCACCATGCTTCTTTTATGGATATTCTCCCACATCTCCTGAAACTATATAGGATGGATGGAGAGGCCATCAAAAACATTATGAATGACATTGAGTATGACATCAGAATTGTGAACAATATGCACACAGTCGTTACACCCAGTGGTGTATTTTGGAATTGTGCTGCCCTAGGCATGACTAAATTCAGGCTTCCCCCTAATCTAAATTTGCCCTACCAATTTGTGTCAGGTCCACTTTTTTGACTGACAGACACACGCTCTCATTGATACATGCACTCACTGACAGATACACAGTCATTGGCACACACATACAGTAATTTGCACACACACTGTTTAACCAACACACACTTTCACTGACAGGCACACACTTACACACTCACTCACTGACAGATGCACACTCTCATGACACTTATCGACACACACATCCTCACTGATTTGACACTCTGACAGACACACACACATTCACTCACTTACTCACTTACTCACTCACTCACTCACAGACACACACTGACATCTACACTCACTCACAGACATACACTCACTGATATGCACAAACACACACACTCACAATGACAGACACAAACACACACTCACTGGCAGACACACATTCACTGACAGACACAAACACACACACAAATTTTCTTATACACTCACCAATTATTAATATTTTTTTAAATTTAAATCCACCCTGCCTCCCTACCTTTGAAAGAGCTGAAGTGGCTGCTGCCCCTGACAGCTGCTGGACAGGCTCCTTGCTGGCTCCTGCTAACTGGGTTGACCCTGCTGGGGCTGATGGTTCTGTTGACCGGGCTTGCTCTGCTGGGGCTGGCGCTCAATGGAGGCGACGAGGGAACTGAACTTTTCCTGCTCTGCTCCCTCACGCACCGCTTAGTGATGCCGGGGCTGAAGTGACTTCATATTCCGGCTGCTGGCATCACAGAAAAGCGCGTAAGGGAGCAAAAAGAGTGGAGAACAGTGCTCCCTCACTTCCCAGCTCAAATATTAGTTGTTTAACACCTTGGGGGGTCCCTAATGTGGCCAGCTGGCCAGCTCTTGGGTTTCCCAGGACACGAGGCAAACAAGGCATTTGCTTAGGCGCTTGAGGCAACGTTTTTTTGTTGCCCCCCCCCCCCTCCCGATAGTGCTGCCCTAGGCAAATTCATTGTTTGCCTTGTGGTAAATACAGCACTGGTTACACCTATATTAAAGCTCCATGGAGTCATCCGCTTCGGTGGCTCTCATTCTTTCCATGGCATAGTAGTTTCTATTATACAGTAAACTCGCCTGCTTTCTCCTTCATCCTGGACCAGGTGATAGGGGAGATTCTACAGAGAATATTGAAGTATATCTAATTCCCCACTACATGGACAGCTGTTAGGGTGAAAAGTGGGTTCTACACATTGGTCTCCAATCCACTGGTGCTGAGGATTGCATTATTTTTTAGGATTTGCAAGGGGAAACACCATCTCAGAGCACATATTTAAGCATTCTTTTTACAAACCTGTGTGAAATTCCAGCCCACCATCTTAGTTACTTGGTAAATCAGGGCCTCCCATCATTTTCTACCATTTCTTAAATCGAATTCCATTTTTTTAAACTAGTTTATTGTGTATGGTGTCTGTTTGTTAATGTTCATTCTATACTTGATCAAGGCCTTAAACACCTCATTTTTATTACTTCTATTTATAATATTTAGAAATATCTACATATATCTTTGTTAAATGCAATGTTCTTTTGTAAAACAAAATAAGGAGACAACATGAGCAGATCTTATAATTGTAATTGTGTGCTCTTTATTATTGTTTAACATTACCTTATAGATTTATTGAGCAGAACGTCATAATATTTATTTTATCTGCATGGTCCTCCCATTATTTACTTTATTAATGCCTTTTGTCTTCTTATCTATCCATAGGACATTCTGCCCTCAATTCTTGGCCGACTAAGTGTTTAGGTTTTATGCTGCTCTAGGCCTGACAAGCTCCATGCATCCCTCTCTGCATGCTGTGCATCATTGGGAACATTAGTTTTCAGAATGTTTTAAAATGGCATTGGTTCCAGACAGAATCAGATGGAAGTTTTGGACCTGTAAATGTGTGGAGAAAGAGAGAGGACATGTTATCAATGATGAATGCCTATGCGACAAGGAAGAACACACATTTTTTGAGACATGCACAACAAAACACTGTGATAGAGGAAAGGAAACCTAATTTGCAGGGAACTTGACTGTTGTAGCAAAAAGCAACTGATACATCCACACGCAACAAAGAAACTACAAACTTCTAAAATAGCTTGAGGATTTAAAATGAAACATCAATGAGGGTGATTATTAGTCTTATTTGCCTATCTCAGGGATAGGCAACCTTCGGCATGCCAGATATTGCGTATTGCATCTTCCCTGATACTTTGTCAGCATTATGTCTGTAAAGGCAATATGGGAGATGTAGTCCACAACATCTGGTGTGCCAAAGGTTGCCTAACCCTGCCCTAGGCCCTATCCTACATTGGAAAAAGAGAGAGAACACGTCACTGGCAAAAAATGGGGCATCTGATTAAATGAACATTGCATCCACTTTCATGCATTGCTGCATATTAGAAATTTACCCTAGACCTGCCCCTTATATATAGGCCTTGATTTATTATTTTAGATATGCTTTTTAAATGACTTTTAGTTTTTTTATAGACTTTTAAATTGATTTAACATTATGAAAAATATTGAAACCTGTTGGTTTTTTTTATATTGATATATTTTTATATAGGCAATTTTTTTTGTATTTTAATATTTAGAAAAAAAATATTTGAAAAATGTAGACAATACTATTATAATATTCAAAAATTATCTCAAAACATTAATCGAGTCCATAATATGAAGTTCCTATTACAGAATTACTCATTCACAGCTTGTTTCCTTTGATTGCATACACTAATTTCTTAAATCATTATAAAATAGATTAGACAATGAATGAAGTGGACAAGTAATATAACATGAATACTGTACATTAATCATAAAAAATGAATGTGTAAATGGATTCGCTAATACTTTAGCTCTGTTCTTTATTAATTTTGTCACTCCAGCTCTGTCATGCTTGTACAGTTTCTAATGTGCGCACACTCCCAGTGGAATACTGTTTTAGATTATTGATCATCACACACATTCCTTCTCTATTTAATCAAACCTACTCTCATCTTTTCATTCCACAATGTAAAATTCACTGAATGGTTGCTGCAAAATAAACTGGAAAAAATATCAAAATGTGGATATTTCTAGTAAAGGCAGAAAGAAAAAATATTGTACAAAAAAAACAAAGAAAAAACAAATAAAAAATACATAATTATTATTATTATTGCCATTTATATAGCGCCAACAGATTCCGTAGCGCTTTACAATATTATAAGAGGGGGGATTTAACTATAAATAGGACAATTACAAGAAAACTTACAGGAACAATAGGTTGGAGAGGACCCTGCTCAAACGAGCTTACATTCTATAGGAGGTGGGGTGTAAAACACAATAGGACAGGAATTTGCAATTAAATAAGGTGGGCTGCCTTTTAGTAGAGAGCAAGAGACAGGAATTTGCAATTAAATAGGACAGGAATTTGCAATTAAATAAGGTGGGCTGCCTTTTAGGAGAGAGCAAGAGACAGGTATGTGAGGTAGAGGTTAGTTAGGGAGGCCATAAGCTTTCCTAAAGAGATGGGTTTTAAAGTACTTCTTAAAAGATGCAAGACTAGGGGAGAGTCTGATGGCGGTAGGCAGGCTATTCCATAGGAAGGGAGCCACCTGCGAGAAGTCCTGCAAGCGTGAGTTGACCGTACGGGTGCGAACAACGGACAGGGGGTGATCATGGGCAGAGCGGAGAGACGGAGAAGGGACATACCTATGGATCTGTGAAGAGATATAAGAGGGGCTAGAGTTGTTCATACGGTATTAAGCAATTTCTAAGGTGGTTGCAAAAGACCACACACTACTCTCTACACAGGAGTTAAAGGCCTCCACTTTCTTTTTCAATTATAGATGTACAATCTAATTCACTAGTAAATGGAGCGTCAGAGAAATCAATGCTATCTGAGCATCCACTATATGCATTCTCAAAAATTAAGAAAAATAACTGATAAATACGTTTGTGTATTTTAGATAATTGATAGTAGATATAGGCAAAAAAAAGTGCACCCTACTCTTAGTAAATGTAATACACACACAAATTAATATGCTATATCAATGTAACCATATAACAGTATGCCAAAATACACAAAAAAAGTTTTTGTAACAGTTTGAAAATGTATCAAGAGTTGAAAATAATGGGTTTCTAAGACCACAAAATAGTTTTAAAAATAGTCCTTAAAATAGTTAATTAAATCCACAATTCTGGCTTAATATCCAATAATTCCAGTAGAGTCCAGTATATACAATAAAAACAAAATGTAAGAGGTCATTGGATGATAAAAAAAAAATCATTTATTGAACAGACATTTTAAAATACCATAAATATAAATGAAAAGAATATGTGACTCTCTGGGTTTACATATAAAAACAAATAGTCGTTAAAGTGCAGACCTTGCCTGATACACTCGGTCTCCCAAGTGTCTGCAAGTAATGTGTGCTCTAGTTCTGTCTTTGATAGTATCCTGTGCAAGCTCGATGCTGTTTGCTGGATACTAGGTGCTGGATGCCAGTAGTGGAAGTCAAGTTTTTTCAAACGTGTTTCTCTGCGGTGGCGGCTTTTTCAATGGATCTGACTTGGCTTCTCATATCATCTGTATTTAAAGGCTGTACAGTCCAATTAGTGACTCATTACATACTTAACAAAAGTTTATCTAGATACACATAAAATGTTAATGTGACGAGACCAATCTCGCCAGTGTGCATTGGAGGAGCCTGGTTGCCCGCCTGCTGCCTTTAGACTATGGCCCCATGTTGAAACGCTTGATTTTCCCCTGCGAAGACACGAAAGACGGGTCATTCGGTGCTTGCCCTGTTTGAGCGGTGATACCCCAGATAGCTATGCCATGGAGCCCATTCGTATAATAAAAGACTATGGGAAAGATTTTGGCTCCATGGCAATTGAACTGTATGTGTGTGCTCTGAGTGCCATTCAGTAATAATGTGCTCTCAGATCTGAGCTATCTGGGGATATGTTGAATGTACCTGTTTTGTGCAATGGCTGCACAGTTATATATTTTTATGTGTTTTATTGTCTTTTGCTGCCATGTGTTCAATGGGGTTTTGCCTCTGTCCTTGGAGATAATTGGATTACTTCCCAATTATCTCCAGGATAGAAGACTCTGTCGAACTGGTTTTGGGCAGAAAGCCATGCTTCATTTGGTCACAAAGGACTTCGATCTATCTTTTGAACCAATGGACCAATTTGGATGATGTTGACATATGTTTGTATTTGGAGTATGCTGATTCTGAAAATGTAATGTGA